AAAAAAAGAATGCATGAAGCTAGAATAAAATGTTTTTGTTTACGAGCAGATACCCTGTTCTTTCTTTTGATGTTTTGTATGTTCAGATATTCAGATAACAAAATATATACAAATTAATACCTAAATAGGGACATAGTAGTATACTTAAAGTATGATGTAAAGTTCACTTAAAGAAAACTAACGAGTATACGTGCAGTATAAAACTACTAAACTAGTAGTTTACTGAGACTATACTTCAGTGTACTAAAAATGCTACTACAAGTATTTAATTAGTAAACTATCAGTATACCTATACGTTCACTTTTAGTATAGTTGCAGTACAAACTAAACATTTTGATGTAAACTAGTTGTGTTTACTACTGGTATACTAGAAAGTGGGCCAATTTAGTCCCAAGGAGTATTGAAATAGTACACTTACAAGTATACTACTAGTACACTGATATTTGTATACTTACTACATAAAGTATACTTAAAAATATTCTTGAACTTTACTTAAGTATACTTACTAAAATAAACTTGAAGTATACTACTTTTTGGTAAGGGATGCAGATTTGGAATAACATGAGGGTGAATGTTTGTAATTTTTGGATAAAGTATTAGCCTAATTTAATTTGTACTTAAAAGGGTTGTGATAGATAATCAACAAAAACACTGAATACCGACTTAGAGCCATATTTGTAAAACTTATAAACTATTTTAATTTTTAGAACAGTAGATGCATCCTAATTCACATACGTATGTGCACTATTCTATGCTGATTTGTAGTATAAATAGTGTGTTCACAATAAAAATTCTATAAAGAAGTGCACTTCAAATAGAGTGCTGCAGCCGTGACGTCAAAACCCGGAAGGCTAATTTGCCACTGGTTCCCTCACGATTCTTTACTGTGTCACAATTTGCATACACTCTAAAAAATGCTGGGTTGTTTCAACCCAATGTTGGGTCAAATATGGACTAGCCCAACTGTTGGGTTAAAAAGCAAGCTGTTGTGCATCTTACATTGATTCATTCTCATCCACTGACTGTACTGTAATTTTTTTTAAGGCATTTAGTCACGCTCGCACGTCAAAACCCGGAAGGCTAATTTGCCACTGGTTCCCTCACGATTCTTTACTGTGTCACAATTTGCATACACTCTAAAAAATGCTGGGTTGTTTCAACCCAATGTTGGGTCAAATATGGACTAGCCCAACTGTTGGGTTAAAAAGCTAATTTAAAAATGTAACCAAAATTTAACCCATCAGTTGGGTTAGTCCATATTTGACCCAACATTGGGTTGAAACAACCCAGCATTTTTTAGAGTGTACTAATACTATGTCCTAGAAGTATGTACTCTTTTTGTGAAGAAAAATACATACTTTTGAGTATGTAGCAGAATAGTAGGCACGCTTTGGGATATACTACTTTCGGCATAACTGTCGGTGCGTCTGAAATTTGTTTACATTTGATAGTTTGTAATAAGTATCCACATAAGAATGTTTTGGGTGTGAGTGTGTGCAGTCAGCAAGTTATGTTTACCACAGACATTTTACTCATGAATGAAAAGAAAAAGTTATAAAAATCCATAGGAAAATCTTGAGGGAACCCATGGAGTCTTCTAAGTTTTGACATCACAGCAACATACAGCACTCTATTCATGAATTATGCAACTTAAAGCTGCGGTCCGTAAGTTTTGCCTCTTTGTCGCAATCTTTGTTTGAAAACCTGCAATTGCAGCTATTTGCGGAATTATCTTCTTTGCGTGGGTTGTGCACCAGCATGGCTGAATCTAATGTGTGGCTCTGTTTTTATAGACTGTAAAAAAAATGGTCATCTTGAAAGTATGACCCAAATAAGAGTTTTCACGGGAGAATGTCATCTGAACAAATAAGCAACAACTGCCATATTTGTTCTGATCAACTGAGGAAAAAAGTATTACAATAAATTGCGCTATCAGTGGTGATTAAATCTATCGATCGGTTAGCTCATATCACATCAAACCGTGCCAATTATTATTATTGTTATACTTTGTTTTCAAATTCAATCCGCCATTTATTCCAGCTGCTGTGAGAAAAGGCTATATACGATCCGTCACCTGCAGCATCCTCACGTGCGATATAACATACTAGCCGGGACAACTTCTTTATGTTTACAGACGTGACGTAATGACACAGCGCCATGCTCGAATTTCCCGCGAAAACCTACCCGTACCACTCAAATTAGAAAACTTTATTACAAGCTTACCGTTGGGATTCGAGCTAAAGTAAGGCGATAGTTTTGAACACTGGGCTGGTTATGTACTTGCTCAAATTGATTTTGGATCATTTTTAAACTAAAAAGTTAAGGACTGCAGCTTTAAATAGGTGTGCAGTGTTGGACGCTTCATGAATTTAACAGTCGGCAAAATGGACGTCTGAATGTCACACAATAGACAGTAAAGTGCCTAGTGCATAGTATATAATGTGTCCAAGTGTATTTGAAACATAATTGATATTTGTAGTCCAAAAATATTTTTTTTATTTGACTTTCATTATTTGACCTCTGCTTAGTTCTCAGTGACCCACAATCACGAGCCATATATGACATATTTGGGAAAAAAGGCCTAGAGGTGGAAGGTTGGGAGGTTAGTTTTGATTTTCCACATTTATTATAACTAATATTTGTATTACTGTGGTGCATGTGATACTAATGTCATGTCTGCTTGCTTGATCCCTGATATCTTTAGGTGGTGGAGAGGAAAAGAACCCCAGCAGAGATCAGGGAGGAATATGAACGTTTACAGAGGGAGAGAGATGAGAGGAGACTCCAGCAGAGAACAAACCCTAAGGTGGACATTCCAGACCAAAATGACAGCGGGAGATAATGACAAAACTAGTTTTTATTTTCTAAAATGCAGTTTTATTTCACTGAATCTCCCAGTTTGGTTGTGTTCCAACTGATGTAATTTCGAAGATTAAATATGCCAGTTTGTTAAGAGGCCAGATAATAACAGTCAAATCTTTGCTTTATTGCCGAGGTTGATTGTTGAGAAACCGAAATTTGAGGACAGCTTTCTTGATTGGTTTTCTGTCTTCTCTTTTTGGATGCCTGCATATCTGGTTTGCACGTTGTAATTTATCAAGAAAGTTTGTTATACCGGTTCTATAAAAAGTCTGAAATTCATTTAGATCAAATTTAAGGCCATAAAATATCTTAAATGGTATAACCAGAGAACAAACCCTAAGGTGGACATTCCAGACCAAAATGACAGCGGGAGATAATGACAAAACTAGTTTTTATTTTCTAAAATGCAGTTTTATTTCACTGAATCTCCCAGTTTGGTTGTGTTCCAACTGATGTAATTTCGAAGATTAAATATGCCAGTTTGTTAAGAGGCCAGATAATAACAGTCAAATCTTTGCTTTATTGCCGAGGTTGATTGTTGAGAAACCGAAATTTGAGGACAGCTTTCTTGATTGGTTTTCTGTCTTCTCTTTTTGGATGCCTGCATATCTGGTTTGCACGTTGTAATTTATCAAGAAAGTGTGTAACACCGGTTCTATAAAAAGTCTGAAAAACATTTAGATCAAATTTAAGGCCATAAAATATCTTAAATGGTATAACAAGTATTAAAGTATTAAAAAATTTTTCCTTTCTCTTTGGAGTGTTACAAGCTCTTGGTGCATAAAGAAGATCTGTAAAGTTGCAAAGACTAAAGTCTCAAATCCAAAGAGATATTCTTTATAAAAGTTGTCAACCACGCCTACCTAAAACGTTCTAACACGCCCCCACATACTTACGTCACGATGTGGGAAGATTTGCATAACTCCGCTCAAATGTTCACGTAAAGAAAGAAGGTGTAACTTTTATTCTCGCTGTAGTATTGTTGTTACCGCCGCCATGTCGTGAAGGCACTGTGTGTTTCGTTGTGAAAGCAAAACTACTTTGTTTGGTCTTCCAAAAGAGGACGATATCCGCTTCGTCATGCCT